GACTTCGAACCATTTTATGAAGCGTGGAGAGAGATTCAAAGACTTGCTTAGAAGGTGTCCTCAACATGGTTTTGAAAATTGGATACAGATTGAGATCTTCTACAACGGGTAAAATGGGTAAACAAAACCTATAGTAGATGTCGCTGCAAAGGGTATTCTATTGGCTAAAACGACAAATGCTACATATGCCCTATTGGATGACATAGCCACAAATAGTTACCAATGGCCGAGTGAGAGATCAAACCTAAAGAGAGTACATGAATTGGATCACATCACTGCACTAGTAGCTCATGTTTCATTACTTACTAATCAGATAGCTACACTTACTACTCAGAGTAATCAACAGAAGACAGATTCGATTATGGATGCTTCTGTAGCACATCAGGAGGAGACAGAAATAACAAATGAGTAGGTTCAGTTTGTCAACAACAGGAATTATAATCAGAGAGGAAACTACTTTTCTAATCACTACCATCCAAAGCTTCGAAATCATAAGAATTTGTCATATGGAAATAACAGGAATGTACTTCAACCTCCTCTCGGGTTCAATACTCAACAGTCAGAAGGGAAAACATCTTTAGAAGACCTCATGGGGACTTTTATTTCTGAGATGAGATCGCGGTTCAACAAAGATGAATCATGCTTGGATATATTGAGACTCACGTGACCAATATGGGAGGTACAATAAAGAATCTTGAAGTTCAGATTGGTTAATTGGCTACATCAATGAAGTCTCAACAACAAGAAAAAATTCCAAGTGATACAGAGGTGAATCCAAAGGACCACTACAAAGCTATTACCTTAAGGAATGGCAAAGAAGTTGGACAGAACATGCATATAGTGTCATCAACCTCTACACTTGATCCAAGTGAAGAACAGATAGTTGCATAACAAGAGAATCAGATCGACCAAATAAAGAAGGATTACAAGTCTATTTCTATATCAATCTTTGATAACCCACCGATCATCAAGCTAAAATCTCCGTGTCCACAAAGATTCCAGAAGAAGAAGTTTGATGTATACTTTGCCAAGTTCTTAGATATTTTCAAGAAAATTCACATTAATATCCCATTTGCAGATGCTTTGGAACAGATGTCAAACTATTCTAAGTTCATGAAAGGGGTAATTTCGAAGAAGAAAAAGTTGGAAGAATATGAGACAGTGAAATTAGCAGAGGAATGTAGTGCTATTCTTCAAAACAAGCTTCCTTAGAAAAGAAAAGATCTGGGCAGCTTTACTATTTCATGCACCATTGTGGGCTCTTCTTCTAATAGAGCCCTTTAAAATCTTGGGGCAAACATTATCTTGATGCCCTTGTCAGTTTTCAAGATATTAGGCCTCGAGGAGGTAAAACCAACAACGGTTACTCTGCAACTAGCTGACGAACCTTCACATACCCACGAGGGATTATTGAAGACGTTTTAGTAAAGGTTGGTAAATTTATCTTCCTAGTTGACTTCGTGGTATTGGATATGGAAGAAGATCAGGAGATTCCATTGATTTTGGGTAGGCCATTCTTAGCAACAGGAAGAGCCCTAATCGATGTACAAGGAGGGCAGCTAACATTGAGAGTGAATGACGAAGACATGATGTTCAATATCTACCAAGCAATGAGATTTTCGGATGACATCAATATAGGGATGGCAAAAAAACCTGACAAACCCGATACCCGCGGGGACCAGCCCCGAACGGGGAGGGGAAAACCC